CCAATCAGAACACAGCCAAGCCCCCACCCAATCAAGTCACACTTTCCAGCTTCTGGAAAGCATTTCAACTAATTGAAAAGTAAAATACAGGTAGTCCTGCAGTTAGGACCACAACTGACCCCAACATTTATAAGTGAAACATTTGCCCCATTTTATGACTTTTCTTGCCACAGTTTTTAAGTAAATCATTACGTTTGTTTAAGTTAGTAACTTGATTGTAAAGTGAATCTGGATTCCGTATTTACTTTGTCAGAAGGTAATCACATAACTCCAAGACTCTGCAACAGTCATAAATATGAATCCTTTGCCAAGCATCTGAATTTTGATCTTGTGGTCATGGGAATGCTGCAATGGTCATAAGTGTTAAAAACTTAAGTCACTTTTTAAAGTGTCATTGTAACTTTGAATGGTCACTAAATGAACTGTTGTAAGTCAAGGACTATGTACAATGAAATACTTCAACTGTATGTTGGATCACCAAAATGATAATTAAAAACATTATTTCACCCATCCTTCTTAAAGCAAAAATAGTTGCAGATAAGAATACTTTCAGTCCAGCTTTAGGAATTGTTTTAGCTCTTGTTTTATGTATTTTTCTTTAGATTTATTTTTATATTTAATTTTTCCCCAGTAATTAACTTTGTGTATCCTAGGTGAAAGTATGGACTATAATATCAAGGCAGAAATCACCTTCCACTTTAAAGAGCACATCGATGGATTTGCTTAACTCATTCTATGGTTTTTGTTCTATATAGAAAACACCACTAAATGTTTTCATTGCCTGTGGTCTTATTCCAGTCTCAAATTCTGGCTAAGAAAAAAGACAACCAGCTTCCTATCCTAGAAAAAAACGTGCCTACCGTCCCTGTCCTATTATTTCTTTTATTCTTTTATTCATAACTATGCTTTTACTTATACCTATTATCTTGTAAGCAATTGACAAAAATAAATAAATAAATAAAAAGAAATGGTGGGTTCTTCTTGGTAATAATCCTTGTTCATCATTAGCACTGTATGGAATATGGAATTTCCAGGGAATGTCTAGCTATTACTGGAAATGCAATTCCTACATATCAACCCTACATCTTCTCTTCTATTAACCACCATGAACAATAGCAGAAATAGAAAAAAATGACATTCTTTTTTGTTCCTTTGACTGCACTGTTTGATCCTAAATTTAAGAATAATATTCTTGATCTATCTCCTTCACACTGCTTTCTACAGGAAGAGCATGGTAGTTTCTTTTTCGTCTTTAGCTTTAGAACAAAAATGTGAGCTTTCTGGGACAATTTCTTTAATTTTTTATTTATTTTGATCTTAAAGTCTGTCTCTAGGTACATTTAACTGGCCTGGTTATATTCTTACACATAAACACAGCTAAATAAGAACCACAATGAATTACTTCTACTTAAGGTCATGTGGAGTTTTGCCTAGGAAGCCCTACAGTATAAGATTTTTAACACATGATAATACCAAACATATTGGTCCACTTACCTCTTTCAAAGAAAAAAGAAGTGCAGCTTTCATGGATTTTTCTTGCTTAACTTGCATATCATTTAGCCTTTTGGTAAAATTACTGAAGCAAGGTTTTAAATTCATCTTCGAATACTGTCTTCCTTTTATATGATTAAAGATCATATCAAGGGAACGAGGAAGAATGCCGCCATCTTTTGGACAACCTAAGGATATAATTAATTTTGTTTCCTTTCATGCTGTAAATTAGAAGATGTTCTGAATTTTGAACCTCAGATTATACCTTGGACAGTGAAACTTTTGCCTGCATTAGTAACGCCATAAGTAAAAACAAGCCCATTTCTTCCTTCAAGGTAAGCTTTTACAATGTCCTTCATTGTGCCTTCAAAAAAATCATTTTGCGTTGTATCTGGTCCAAAAACCTACACAGAGAATACAAGTTATTTTCAGAGACATATTAAATGGGATGCATGAGATTGTACAAACAATCTTTACACCCCTTTTTTAAAAAGGAATGTGCAGATTCTTCCAAAAACACTATTAGATTTTTTAATCTCATCTGCCATCATCAGGCTTCTGTATTGTGTTCGTCTGACTCACAGACGAACACAATACAGAAGCCTGATGATGGCAGATGAGTGTGCGTGTGTGTGTGTGTGTGTGTGTGTACACACACAGACATATATGACTTATTCCTCCACTAAACCGGGCATGGTCGTGGCCAGCATGTGATGCATTTGGCCTGTGGGCCGTGAGTTTGACAGCCCTGTTTTATGTGATGATTGGACCAGATGATGTAACAGCCAATATGATTTTGAAAGCTTTGATTCCACTGAAATAATGATTAGTTTCTCCCTTAAGATAATATTTTTGGTTACTTAGTTACTATTGAAAACTAATTTGTACTTAACTATATAATGTATAAAAGAATATCCGTGTATATTTAAGACTGCAATTTGTTATATATTACTTGGGAATGTACTGTGTTCAACTAAATAAACTGATTACTTAAAGACCTGGAAAAGTGGGAAGCAAAAAAAATGTTTTGACACTATTTTACCTATGTTTCAAAACTCTGAAATTTGGGACATGAAGGAAAAGAGGGGCAACTTACCTTTGTGAAGGTAAATTGATGTGCAGAATGTCCAATCTTCTTTTCATTAGTTTTTATTTGTGCCAATTCTTTTGGAGCCTGGAGTGTTACTGTTTCTTGATTTTCAATAATTAAGCAGTCCTTAATACAAAAACTTTTTAATGTCTTTTACAAATTTAAATGATATGACACAATGTCCAAGATATGCAGTATATGCAAACCCCTTGTATTATCCATTTACTGTTCATAACAATTCAATGGAGCCCAGAGTTGTAGAAATTGCAGAATATATTCTTCTATAGCAGTGTTTTTCAAATGTTGACAACTTTAACTGTGTTGATTGGGGAATTCTGGGAGTTCTATACATCTTAACATTGCTAAGGTTGTTAAAATGTTCTATACCAGGAGAAGTTATTTTCTGATATACATTCAGGTAGGAGAACCAACATATTTAGAATTTAGGATCTAAATATTATGCTCTATTGTACATTTCAACTTACCGACTTGTTTATTTTATTTGTATGTTTATTTTAAAAATGCATGAGCTATCCTATTGCTAAAACATTTCATACTGCTGTTCAATTAAAGCACAACTTAATCTATATAAACACAATCAATATAAAAACATATTAAAAGAATTAGAAATAGCACAGTCTTTTATAGAAATCAAACTATTTAAAAGCATACAAGTTAAATTAAAATATGTTTAAATTCATAAAATGAAAATCTATACCAAAATATTTCCTAACTGAACAGGTGAAACAAATGGCTGCCATGTACAGACTGTACAGACTTAAAAACAGTAATTGGGAGCAGCAGCTCTATTGCTAGGCAGCAAGATGTCATCACATTGGCTTCCAACAACTGTGTCAGATCTGGTTTCGGTCATTAAAAAATCTCGCATAGTTGTTAGGCAATGATGTCACATGATTGCCATTTGCAGCCTATTGCTAGTCTGCCCACTGACTTTTCCAGTCAGAAGCCAGCAGTAAAGCTCAGTAATGGCGATCATGTGAGGATATTTGTAATGCCCTAATTGCCTGAATTGTGACCACATGACCACAAATACACTGTAATGGCTGCAACAGGATCAGTCATAAGTCTCCTCATTCAATACCATGGTAGCTTCAAATAGACACCGAACAAGTGGTCATTAAATGAGGACCCCTTGTAACATGAGAGCCATAATAACAGTTCTGCAGCAATTATTTCAGAAATTTCAACTAGAAATATACTGGAAGACACACTTCTGTTAATGACAAAACCATTGTTAAGGCAAATCAATAGCACATTCTAGTATAGATGATACTTAGACAATGATGAAAAACAACCTAAGAGCTTGTTAAGAAACCAAAATAGTGAACATAATATTTTTAGATTACTAGTTCTGAATATTCAAAATGATGTATAACAAACCTGGTTTTCATTATTTTCAAGCTCTGCCTTTGAGAAGGGCCGAACTCTCAAGTAAACTTTTAGTGGCTGATATAGTTCCTTAAAGAAGAAATTAATAAATATATTATGTCAATTTTATCATTTAGATTTACTAGTCTTGAATATCTTACCATTTACTTTCTGGCTTGCCTCAATTTTAAATTTGTGCCTAAAATTTTACTTCTTTCAAACATTATTTTTAGTAAAACCATCTCTGTTCATGCTCATGATTTAATTACCCTACATATGTGATGGGATGAAAAGTATTTCTGGTTTTAAGGGATCAAACTTTGTGTCAGGGTTCAAGCATCACAATATGCCATAATGAGGTATGTTAGATTTACATACTACTGTTGTAGTTTATAAACCATAATCTATGATTTAGCCTGTATTGTGAACCAACCACTTGTAGTTTATACAACAAATTATGAATCAGTAAACCATTACTTCACACAATCCATAAATCAAACCACACAGTTTAAGTTGATAGCAATTTTTATTGCTTAGGTCCATTAATCTGGTAGCATAGCACATGGTCATTTTAACTTTCATTTTCCTTATATTGTGTTTTCAGTCATTGTGAGAAGCAATCATGTAATGAAAACAACAAATTGTTCTAACTCTTTGTATTATGTTTGTAATCACTTGGTCCTTTTATGATATAATTTAAGATTCATCAGTGGGATAGGAGCTTTCTCCATTGTATGATTTCATGGGATTATAGACTTGACGGTTAAAGAATTTAGCATTCACAAACAGTATGTTACATCAAGCCACAGAAATCTGGACACACATCCTTAGTGGTTAAACAGAAAGTCGTTTACCTTCACTTCTTGATGTTCTTCAGGACTAGATACTTCAGACAATTCTTCATGAGATACTGCTTCTATCATGCCACACCCCATGAAAGCAGTTCCATAATTTTCTTGGCAATTCATTCTTCACTATATGACAGCAGATAAAAAAAAATCCTAGCTTGTATGTAATGTCCTTTTTAACAAACAAACAAACAAAAAACTGTAGAGTTAGTGTTATGAACCTAGTATTATTTATTAGACAACCAATTATAACAAATTTTCATTACCATAAAGATCCATTGATTTAAATTCAAATATGCTTAATCATTCAGGATCCAAACTGATGAATCTAAAATCCACCACAAATGATAAATTAAGAGTACTCTGAGACATTGCAGGTGGTGCAGCTAGTTGACTTTGCCTGGGGTTAGAAACAAACTAGAATTGAGCCCTAAGGCTACAGAATAGGAAGTTGATCAAATTTCTTCCTGAATGGCAGATCACTTATATATTCTCCCCCCAACCCCGCATAGTGCTTGGAAATTGTCAGCAGTTATGCTCAACTTGAGAGGTTTTTATTTTTGCTCAGCTAGTTGATTTTTGAAATGAATAGTTGGAGGGAAGATCATTGGGAAACATCAGAGCTATGAGCTAGCAGGAAGTCGAAGTAACGTAAAATATTTATAAATAAATAAAAAGTAAAGGCAACAATTAAGCACTTCTATGTTTTTGTACAAAACCAAATACTTAGCTGTATCCATGAAATCACCAAAATTTAAGCTTCTCTTTGTTAAAGATAAATGGTTCTTGAATGTCACCAAAACAAAACAAAAATCATATGTAGCACAAGATAAAACTAAGGGCTTAATATGATGTATTAGCCCAGGTAGAACTTTAATGATATTAAAAAAAGAACTTTTAGCCCATCACAAAATAAATTTAATGATCACTGCATGGTTGTAAGATCAATTGATCTTACAATCATGCAGTGATCATTAAAAAATTAAAAAAAGTGATCATTGCTTTGGCAAGAAATAAAAACTGATTTTGACTTAGCTCCACATCCTATTTTGGCTTCAACTGATTTGCTTCTATACTTTGAAAACCAAGCCTTTTATTTATGTTCTGGCCTAGTAGTCATAAGAATGGAATTCCAGATCAAAGAATGTCTTTTTGAATTTGTAAACTCCATTTGATTCATTTCCAGTCCAATTCCAGTTGTGGGATTATTTAATCAACAGAAGTGAAAAGTGGCCACTCAAGCCACTTTCAGCAGTCTCAGATCTTAAAAAATATCTATTCAAGATCTCTTTCAAATTGGCATTGATGGTTACTAGCCTGTAGGCAAACTTATCAATGTAGCCAGTTAAATGAGTACATTATTATTTGAGAAACAGAATCTAAGAGAAGAATAAATTATTGTCCTGTAGTAGTTTTCAGAATTTTTCTAGGCCCAATTATGTTAGTCTGGTATGGTTTTGTGAAAATACAAAACATGTAAGGCTTTAATTAGTAAACCACAAATAAACCACAAGTAAACCTTTCTCTATAAGTAAATTTTCCAAAGGATAGTCAATAAGAGCTTCTGAACCAAACCATATAGTAGCTGTCTTTTATGATTCAAATTCTAGATTATGTTAGAGAACCTGGTTCAGAAAATGTACTCAATTATAATTGTTTACCCAGATACTTATTTTATGTATTTTCCTCATTTCAAGTTTAACCTTTACATTAAATAAGGTTATTTTAGGTCTTTCACACATATTACACCTTAAGTTGCTTTTTTTGATAATGGCTTAATATATTGAGTAAACCTAGCCATTGTAGGTTGTTTAATAGATCATGGTTTAAACAAATCATAGCTTAGCAGAGTATACCACGAGAGACAAATTAGCCACAAACTTTTTCAGGATAAGCATCATTAGATTCTCTAAATAAGCATACATTTCTCTACACATTGTTTATAGTTATTACAAATACGTTTGACTTCTGTTTTTATCCTGAACTGTATTTTACCTGTTTTTATTTCTCTGGAAGTTACAGACATAGAAGCACTGCCTTTCTAGTTAAAATTTTTATTTTTTTCCCCTCCAAGTTTCCCAGCAAAAGTTATTGTATACCTGAAGTTTTATATAAGTGACTACTGACCAATTAGAACCCAGCAAGTAAATTTATGCTTATATGCCCTTCCCATATCCTACTGATACTTCTGGGAGGGGCAGCTGTGTAATCTCCACACTTGATTGTAAGCTTAATTGAGCAGACTTCTGTCTAAACAAGTTCAGCTATTGGGATGTCAATATTGTATATAGTGCATATAAGCATTTGGATTTAGAAGTTATCAGCAAAGAGGTGTAGTTTGTGTGTCCATAGATGTTTACTGAAAATATTTTTATTGAAGTAATAGTTTCAGTGAACCTTCAGAACAACGGAATAAAGTATTTCTGGCTAATATGAGCAGGTGCATATATTTAACATTTTTAAAACAATGTTTCTCTACCTTAGAAACTTTAAGATGTATGGACTAGCTGGAGAATTCTGGGAGTTGAAGTCCACACATTTTAAAGTGCTTGGAGATGTAACAATTCATTCATGGAAATTGGCATTCTTATTATTTAATTTTCATGCTTCCCCTCACCTATATGGTGACTCTTTTAGACTTTAGTATTCATGATTCATAACACTGGTAAGGAAAGGTATATGAAAGGACTGCAGCTCATAATGTTTTATATTCAGAATGTAACATTTAGTTCTTGACATTTCCAAATGCAGCTGAAGATTACAGCTTAAAATATGAGTGACCTCTCCCAATCGGGGTGCGTTTGCACAAGATGCTGTCTACATTAATGCATTTGTTAGCATTTGAAAAGCACACCTAACTACAACCTTGCCAATTACATTTTAACCTATGTAATTAATGGTCCAGTATATCATGGAAATTTTGTGAAATTAGACAACTGCAACAAAACCACTTAGTCCTTTTGCCATACACATTATTCTAAAGACAATCTGGCATGGATTCTCTTCATGTGTACCTCGAAGCAAAAATGGATTTTAGACTATTGTATAAATCCACCCACTATGCTTATAAATCATTACTCATTCTTTGTATGAATTTTAAAGCTTACTAAATAATTATGTAAACTGTGGCTTTGCATATTGTGGGAGTTAAGTCAGTTCAAGTTAGTACTATTGAATTAGAGCTTGTATTGTGTGAATTGTATTAAAACTCAATGAGTCATATTCCAACTTTTTTACATACACCTGTAGAATTGCAACTTTTCTGGTGATCATACATGTTAGAGAATCTGATAACATACACTAGCACACATGTAAGTTTCTTCTAATCCATCTTAATATTGCATCTACTGTGTAAATTATTCTGTGTGCTGCCAGAACAACGAAGTCTTAGTAGTTTTTAGGAGATTCTACTTGGCAAAAACACTAATTACTGTAATTGATTATGAGAATATGAGGACAAATTCCCTCATATTGCAAGGAAATATGCAGATTTTTCCCAGTATTAAATTATATGGCTAGAAAAATATTTTGCATATTTACATGCCAGTGTTATATTTCTATAAATGTCCAACGGTGTACTGCATGTAATATAGCTCCTGCTGCAAATAAGCACTGAATGAAATCAACATTTTTTTTGTCAGATGTTAACATCTAGAAAGATTCCTGTGAAAAGTTCAAATATAATGTAGCTTTAGAATTAGTCTTTTTCTTCTTAAAATTACAGTAGCTGCAATAATCCACTAGAGCAGTGGCCCCCAACCTTTTTTTGTGCTGCGGCCCGGTACCGGCATCACAAAATCATCCGCGGCCCGGTACCAGCATCAGCATGCATGGCAAGGTGAGCCGAGTGACCGGCCAGCCAGCTGCCCCCCGCTTCTCCCCGCCACCATCAACTCCTCCTTTGTACCTGTGTCGATGGGCTTCATGACGGCTTCGGGATGGTCGCTTGGCCCGCCTTGCCATGCGTGCTAAAAGAATCCTCACGCTTTAGTTTTGTTCGAAGCCGCCCCCCCCCCTCGATGAAACTAAGGCGCGAGGATTCTTTCAGCACCCAAACGCCGCTTTCTACCCGGAAAAGCTCACCGGAAGCACTTTTTCATCAAAACAAGATGGTGGCGCCCAGCAAACTGGCGGCCTGGTAGAAATTGTTCCACGGACCGGTACCGGTGGTTGGGGACCCCTGCACTAGAGGGCATTAACAAAGCAATGTAAAAAAATTGAACAATGGCCTAAAACAGCAGTTGCCAACCGGTGGGCCGTGAGAAAATGTTGGTGGGCCAGAGAAATCTCACCCCCAGAGCACCCCCACAAAGCAATTAATCCAGGCTGTGCAGAAACACAAGGCTGCGCCACCCACATGGCCCACAGGAACCCTCCCCACCCACTCACTCCTTACCCAGTAAACTTGCCTGCTAAATTGCTATTTTCCCTTTTTCCAACCATCATCTGTTCTGCTGTGCCGAGATTTAGATTAGCTAGGAAGCAGGAAATGGTTGGATTTCTTGCTTTCTAGCTAGTCTTTAGATCTTCGGCTCAGCACAACCAAACCTTAGGACTGAAGGTTTGCTTGCAAGCAAATTCAGTGCACTCACGGCAAGGAAATTTGAGAGACTGAGCTAGCCGATGGCAGATAGATCACTGAATGATTCTGTGAGCAACTCAATCTGCTTGCTTTGCCTGATTTTGGGTAAAAGTTGCTCTTTTTTTGTAAAAAAATCATTATTTATATAAATATATTTACATACAAGCCATGCCCAGCCAGTCACATGACCAAGCCACACCCACAGAACCAGTTAGTGGTCCTTGGGATCTAAAAATATGAGTTTGGTGGTCCCTGAGGTCCAAAAGGTTGGCGACCCCTGGCCTAAAACCATTAGGCAAAAATATTTTTCACATTTAATGAGTAATAATGATTAACAAACACTACTGAAGCTACCAACCCTGTAAATTATGACAATTTCAAATGTCTAATAGAAGAAGCAAATAAATTTTAGTTCAACTTCCATCTTTGCTTACTTCAAAGCTCTACCAGTCTCACACTATAATTTAACAGTTATTAAGTTATCGCAAGCTTA